GATTACAATTCCCTCCAAAACTATATACAAATTCAGTGCAATCAAAATTCCATGGACCATTTTGCAGAAGTAGAAAAGCTGATCCTAAAATTCATACCCTCTATGATATCTGTAATAAAAATGGAAAACAAGTATTGGTGAGAATATGGAGAAATTGGAACCCTCCTTCATTACAGATAGGAATGTCAAATTGTTGAAACCTTTGTGGAAATTATTTTGGAGGTTCCTTAAAAAGTTAAACATACAATACAGCCCAGCAATTTCTAACCCTATCTCTGGTATTTAGTCCAAAGAATTGAAAATAAGTATTCAAACAAGTACTTGTACAAATACTTGTTTACAGCAGCACTATTCCAAATAGACAAAAGGTGGAAACAACTCAAATGTCCATCAACTAATGAAAGGATAAAGTGTGATATGTACATAAAATGGGATATTAGCTATAAAAATGAAGTACTGTTACATACTACAATGTGGATGGACCATTATGCTAATTGAAACAATCCAGACACAAATGGATACATACAGCGTGGAGCAAAAGTAGGTTTATAGTTGTGAGTATGAGTTTATTCTTGTATATTATTTACTAGAGGCACAAAATTCATGCAAGAGTAGGCCTTCCTTCCCCCGGCTGCCGGCACCAGCTTCCCTCTGGCACCCAGGACCTGGGCTTCCCTCACAGCCCCAGCTTTGTCCGGAAGGTCATCCAGAAGGATGTCCGGTCTAATTAGTGTATTATGTATGCTTTTATTATTATAGATTAATTATTGTATTAATTTCCATATGAACTACTGTAGACCTACTTTTGCCCCACCCTGTATTGTGTTATGTCATTTATGTGAAATATCTAGAATAGGTACATCCATAGTGACAAAACACAGATTAGTGATTTTTAGAGACTAGCGGAGGAGAAAATAGCAAGTGACTGTTTAATGACAATGAGGTTTACTTTTGGAGTGATGATATGTTTTGAAACTAGATATTGGTTATGGTGTACAACATTGTGAATGTACTAAAGATCACTGAATTTAACACTTTAAAAATAGTTGCCTTAGCCGGTTTGGCTCAGTGGATAGAGCGTTGGCCTGCGGACCCAAGGGTCCCGGGTTTGATTCCGGTCAAGGGCATGTACCTCAGTTGCAGGCTCCTCCCCAGCCTAGGCCCTGTTCCCTCTCTTTCACTCTCTTCTATAAAGCAATGGAAAAATATCTTTGGGTAAGGATTAAAAAAAAATAAAATCAGTTAATTTTGTGTTACGTGAATTTTACCTAAAAAGTGGATACTCTTACAGAAGTCCCTTTTATTTCCCCCATACTTTCATCAATAAATATTCAAAAAACAAGTATCCTACTTGACACACACAAGCAAAAGTGGAGACTCTTAATTCTCTCCATCTAAAAGTCTGACCTGCTTATTTTCTTGAGCCAAGCAGAATTCCTTATATCCTCATTAATAATAGTAATAACAGGTTACTATTTAACATATAACTTGTTGTCAACTATGATGCGTGTTTTTCATGTACCATATTATTTAAAATCTCACAACAATGTTATAATGGCATATAATAGATGCTAAGCAAGTATTTGTGGCATGAATGAACAAGCCCACAAGTAAGGTATATGTGAAGCAACTGATGTTGAGAATTTTCTCAACTTTCCCTATGTCTTCTAGTTAGTAAGTGGCAGAATTCAAACTCTAAGAACTGTAAGACAAATTTAAGAAAATAATATAAAATAAAAATATACCATTTTTGGCTTCAGCTCTAACCTCACATTAGAGAGAAAGATATCAGGTTCTATTTCTGGAAAGAAATTAAGTCCTTAATATTACTTTTTTTAGTCATATTGAAACTTAAATCTGTTAATTTGGTTGTATTGCTTTGATATCAGGCAGCCTTGACGTCCAATTTTCCATTAATTTAATAAACATGTGACTTTAGAAAAATTTCATTTAACCTTTCTAAAAGCCAGGTCTCTAATTTGTTAAAGATTGTAAAATGAACATGAAAGGATGGGCTGATGGAGCCAGAACTGGATGACAAGGCTACCTTACTCTCCTGTTGTTGTTTTTTTAAATAATAGCAACTGGCGCAAAATATTAAGAAAACATTGTTCAGGCCAAATAACAAACATCTGCAGGCTACATTTGGCCAGTAAGTTATAAGTTTTGACCTCTGTATTATTTCAAAGGAGGCAAAGAGTTAGGATACTGTGGTGATTAAAACATGAACTGTGGAGCCTACTGCCTGGGTTGCCATCCAAGCTTTGACTATTTACTAGTTCTGTAACCTTTGGCAAGCTTCTTGCTCTGTCTGTGTCTCAGTTGTCTTGTCTTTAACATAAGAATAATGATATTATGTATTTCATAAGTTTAGTATGAGGATTAAGGGAGAGCAAGAGGAAGGAAGAGGGGGAGAAAGAAAGGTGTATCGAGTCATTTAAAAATAGTCTGACATGTAACAAGTGCTCTGCAAATATATTAAATAAAACAAACCAAAAAAAAGATCTACATTCCCTTTCAGCTTTTAATATTGTATGTTTTAAATGGAACTTGTGGAAAGCTGATTACCTGCACTGATTCTAAGTTGGTCTTTACCTCATTTTGCTCATCTGAGCCTCAGTTTGCACATATGAACAATGGACAGTAATGGTACCTGCTTTGTATGGTTATTGTGAGGATTAAATGAGTTGATAGAGAGTTAATATATCTACAGTACTTAGAACATAGTCTGGCACAGATTAAGCACTATGTAAGTATTATCCATAATCATTATTAATTTTTAAAATGTTGCTTGGCAAAGCTCATGTAGGTCAGTATTGAAAAGCTCTAAAATATGTTTAATAGTATTTACAATAAAATCTATACCATAATGATGGAGCTGAACTTTTAATCCTTCTATTAACCCTTCACAAAAGTAAGGGTAAGGTCTACGAAGAGAAAAACTTCCAGTAAGTCATTTCACAGCTCACTTAATGCACTTCCATACCAGATTTAGATAAAAAGAAAAACAAAGCCAAAATCTGTATCTATGAAGGCAACTAATTGAATTTAATCTTAATAACTCGTAATGCATTTTCCACAATAAATCTAAGAAAATGAGGAAAATTCAAACTCTAATACACAGAATTGATTAGAAGAAAATTCTATACTGGAAAATAGGGTTATCTCCTGCCTCCCTAGTGAACTCAGTACTGGCGTTGGAAAAAGCAGGACCCTAACTATAATTTTTAAGGTGATAAAAATCTGGTATGAAGAAATAAAGCAGTCTTGGAAGGACTTGGGAGATAATGTCCAACAGAACAAATAAGAGTCCTAATGTGAGGGGACTGGAAATAGACTGGGAGCTCATACTGAATGAGTAGGGAACATTATAGGACACAAGTTTAAAGGTGCTACAAGTGGCATTCTAGAAATGACAATAACTATTAGTAGAATCTCAGAGAAGAGATGGAAATTCTTCAATATGAAAGAATAGGGGCAAGGGGAGATCTCACTGTGAAAAAGCAGAGGTTCTGTTGTGAGGAGACATGATATCATATGAAAAGTCCACTGTGAATTGATAAGGACACTAGTGATAAAGACTGGGGGTTATCCAAGTGGGGAAAACCCAGAATAGGGTCTTGGGGTTTAAGTCTAGAAATATTCTGAGTTTATAAGACTAGAATATAGTGTGGGAACTATTTTATAGATAAAGAGGAGATGGAATACTCCTTAGTATGAAAAGACAGAGTACAAGAGGAGACCTCAAATTTATAAAATGAGTGCTCTAATGAAGGGGAGGCAAGAAATTAGGCTCCCATTGAAAGGGGTGGGAAATATTAGAAACTCCAGTGGGAACAGATCGTGTTTTTCTTGTTTGAAAAGTCAGGGTACAAGTGCAATACTAGTGGGAAATAAGAGAAAATAATAAGAAACCTCTGAGAAAGAGGATGGCAAAATGTGTAACCAACAGTGGAAGAAAACTTCAGGAATCGGGGAGTAGATTTTTAAAAAAGGTAAAAGGAGAATCATCATTAGAAAAGTTGTGGCCCTTGGAAGGGACATGAGATCTATTGTTGGAAACCTTGTGGGAGAGTAAAGAGGACACTCTAGTGTGAAAAGAAATGGACAAGGCAGGACCATAGTCTTACAAAAAGCAGGGTGACTAGTATGAGATGTCAGAAAATAATGTGGAGCTTCTAAGGAAAATACTGAATGCTCCTCAAAGCAGAAAGGCAAAAGACTAAGGGAACCCCAGTGTGATAAAGTCAGGGGCTCTAGTGTGAGGGGACAAGGCAGGATATATTATTGTAGGACTTCAACTCCATTGGAGAGAATGAAAAATGTTGAAGCCCACTGAGGAAGAGAATGGATGTCTTGCCAGTTTGTGAAAAGGGATAATTTCAGTGTGATAGAACAAGTATACTGGGGGGTCCCAAGTGGGAGAAGATGTAAAGCACGTCATCTAGTGTGAGAGAATATGGGAAAAGGATGAATCCCCACATTAAAAAAAAGGAGAGCCTGGTAAGAAAATACAGGAAATATTTTGAGATTCCTAGTAAGAGGGTTTGGAAAAATATGGGGCTCCTAGTTGGATGCTCCTAGTTGGTAAGACTTGTAATATATGGTAAGTGAACAGTTTAAGGATATTGGATATGTTGTTTTCTCACTTTAGTAGGGCAGGAGCTCCCAAAATGAGAACACAAGACACAAGTGTTTGTCCTGTAGGAGAAAAGGGAGCCCTAGTGGGAAGAGCACGGAATTTCTTGTGGGAAAGGCCAGAAAATAATGTAAGAAACCCTATGTGGGAAGCCATGGCGACAAGGTGGGACCCCCTGGGGGAGGGGAGCACACGGAATATTGTGGGAAGCCAGAGATTGGAGGTGAGGAGCTCCCCCAGGGAACTAAAGAAAAAACCGCAGTGTGAGGGCTAAGAACACAGGGAACACCAGTGTGAAGGGTAGGGCAGACGGTTATGCTGGAGCATAATTTCCCTACCTTAGATGCCCAGCTCCACTTACCCAGGCAGAGCTCAAAGACGTAGGCATAGTAAGACCAGAGCACGACGAGGACGATGACGAGCACTGGCACCCAGGAAAGTACCCGGCGGCAGCCCCGCAGCCCCGCGGACAGAGCCATCTTCCAGCCCCGACGCATCTTCAGCTCGAGGATCGATCTAGCAGGCCTGCTGGCGCTGGGTCTGAACTACTGGGGCCGCAGCTGGGAGGCTGGAAAGCGCGTTGTGCGGCGCTCCACTGCCTACCCTGGCGGGAACCTTTTCACCGAGCTGATACCACCTGTGGAGCTGCAGGGCAGAGAGCTCCCAGGCTGGCACAAAAGGCATGAGTCATGACGAATAGGAACTGGCCTTTTGGGAGCGGAAGGTGATCTGTCAGGCCGTTGAGGCTGGGCACGCTCAGAGAGAGTACAAGCCCTCCCATTTCCTCCTCTCCCACCCACTTGCTACAGCGCTAGATGCAGGGCTAGAAACTGTAAAACAGAAGAAATATGGGTCTGCCCATCTGCTCTTGCTGCACTGCGTCCAGGCTCATCTCTCTGAGCTCTGTTTCTCTCTTTCTCTTTGCACCCTGCCCCCCTCACGCATAAATGAGCACACGTAAATGCAGTGTGAAAGATGCAATTTAACATCTCATAACTTAAAGATCATTTAGCTTCCTCGTCCTACTGCTGCTTAAACAATATGCTTTACACGTAATGCTGCAGTCTCTGCTTGGGTAAGTCCATTGGCAGGACGCTTCCTCCTTCTGTCTCTTCTTCACTTCTCCGAGTTAACTCAGTCCATTTTCAGAATAAATAAACATATTAAAATAGAAAACACAAATGGGGGAGACAGTAATTCTATGAGGGGTCAGAAAAAGCTACAAAATAGTTATATTTAAAAATAAATATGACTTTGCCAGACATATGAGAATGGAAGGACCTTTAGACAGAGGAAACAGCATTTGCAAGGGCATAGAGTAATAAAAATCCAAGGTTTTCTAAGAACAACTAGTAAAGCTTGAGAAGAGGGTATCTGAAGAGAAGAAGCTGGGTGTGAAACTGAGAATATAGGCTAAGGGCAGGATTTGAAGGTCCTTGTATGCCCAGACAGAGTGTGTGGGCATTGTCCTGTGAAATAGATTATGAACAGCCATTAAAGGTTTTGGAACAATAAAATTACATCATCATTGATGTATTTTTGTAAAAGAACTGGCGGAATTTTGGAGAGGAGAATGGCCTGGGAGCAGAGAGACCAATCAGGGAAGCAATTTAATTCAACACGTTTTTGGAGAAGTTGCTTTGTGTTAGGTCAAATTTAATATAAAAGAATGACAAAATAAGGGCCCTATCCCCAAGAAGCTCCTGTTATCATAAGTGCAATGTGCTCGGTGATACAAGCATAAGTGCAATAGAGGTATAGCAAGCTTTTGACATTTATAGATTTGATACTCACTGTTTAATTATTTTCAAGGGGAAATGACATGAAGAAATTTGTGACTTTGCTGATGAGACCCATGATTGATTCACATTCTGTATGACTGCAGTGTGAGAGCAATAATTTCAACTAGGTGGCTCACTGTTCTTTATTCATGGTTATATATGCAATACATTTCTGGGAGGGAGGAGACCTTTGTTGTTGGTTTTTCAAATTAATTTAACTTTATGATTGTACTAGAGGCCCAATGCACAAAATTCGTGCACGAAGTGGGGGTGTCCCCTCAGCCCAGCCTGCATCCTCTCTAATCTGGGACCCCTCAGGGGATGTTCAACTGCTGGACAGTCAGAAATCCTTCTCACAATTCTGGACTGCTGGCTCCTAATTGCTCCTAATCACTCACCTGCCTGCCTGCCTGGTCACCCCTAAATGCCCAACCACCCGCCGGCCTGATCGCTCCTCACTGCCTCTGCGTGCCAGCCTGATTGTTCCTAAGTGCCCACCCCACCAGCCTGGTCACCCCTTACTGCACCCCCTGCCAGCCTGGTTGCCCCAACTGGCCCCCCAGCCAGCCTAATAGCCCCCAACTGCCCCCCCTGCTGGCCTGGTCACCCCCAACTTCACCCTCCTCTGCTGGCCTGGTTGCCCCTGACTTCCCCCCCCACCCCGCTGGCATGGTCACTCCCAACTGCCCCCCCACCCCCGTCGGCCTGGTCACCACTCCCAGCCCGCCCGCCAGTGTGGTCACGCCACACAGCCTGCTGTTCAGTCATTTGGTCGTCCCTCACTAACCCCCCTGCCGGCTTGGTCGCCCCACGCAGCCTGCTTGTTCAGTCATTTAGTCATCCCTCACTAACCCCCTGGCCGGCCTGGTCACCCCATGCAGCCTGCTTGTTCAGTCATTTGGTTGTCCCTCACTAACCCCCATGACGGCCTGGTCGCCCCACGCAGCCTGCTTGTTCAGACATTTGGTTGTCCCTCACTAACCCCCCTGCCAGCCTGGTTGTAGGCAGCCATCTTGTGAGGGCATGAAGGTTAATTTGCATATTACCTCTTTATTATAAAGGATTGCTAAATTAATAATATAAAGAAATGCAGACTCATTACAGTTGCAATATTTTAATAGCCCAATTAATTATTTGAGCCCTAAAGTTCTGACATGGATAATTAAATATTATGTTTTTCAGCTTTATCAAGATTCTAGAGGCCTGGCACACAAAATTCATGTGCAGGTATGGTCCCAAGTCCTGTGATCAGGGCCATCTTCTTTGCTTGCCCAAAGCCGGCCACGCCCCCTGCTGCTGGCCACAGGGAGGAACCGAAAGGTCGGCCATTCCGCCCACTCGCTGGCCCCACCACCCACCCTGGTTCCCCATTAGCCATCGGGTGATTGGAGACTGATGGCCGGGGGAAGGGACCAAGAGGTGGTCAGTGTGCCTAATAGTGACTGGTTGAGCAGGTGTTCTGGTCATTCCACCTTTAGGTCAATTTGCATTTACCCTTTTATTATATAGGATAATTAACAACTAAAAATTGTATATATTTAAGGTGTACAGCATGATGATTGACTATGCATATACATATTACATTGAAAATGATTACCACAATCAAACTAGTTAACACATCAATCATCTCCCATAGTTACCATTTTTTGACAAATTTTTAAATCCTTATTGTTTATTCAGATCTTTTGCCCATTTTTTATTTGGATGTTTGTCTTCCAATTAAAAAATGGGCAGAAGACCTGAATAGACTTTTCTTCAAACAGGACATAAAAATGGCCAAGAGACACATGAAAAAATGCTCAAAGTCACTAATCATCAGAAAAATGCAAATTAAAACCACAATGAGATATCACTGCACACCTGTCAGAATGACTATCATCAAAAAATCAACAACAAGTGCTGGTGAGGATGTGGAGAAAAGGGAGTGCTAGTTCACTGCCAGTGGGAATATAGGTTGGTGTAGCTGTTATGGAAAACAGTATGGAGTTCCTCAAAAAACTAAAAATGGAACTTCCATTTAACCCAATGATCCACTTCTGGAAATATATCCTAAAAATTCTAAAACACCAATCAGAAAGAATATATGCATCCCTATGTTCATTGTAGCATTATTTACAATAGCTAAAACTTGGAAACAGCCCATCAGTAGATGAATGGATAAAAAAGCTGTGGGACATTTACACTATGGAATGCTACGCAACTGTAAAAAAGAGGGATCTCTTACCCTTTGGGACAGAATGGATGGACCTCAAAAAATACTATGCTAAGTGAAATAAGCCACCCTGAGAAAGATAAATATCACTTGATCTCACTTATTTGTGGAATCTAATAAAAAAAATGAATTGACCAACAAAATAAGACCTGAGGCAGGGATGCATGGAACAGACTAACATACCTCAATGGGGGGTTAGGGGGACAAGAAGAGATAAACCAAAGAACTTATATGCTTATATGCATAGCCCATGGATGTGGGCAATAAGATGGTGAAGACCTGGAGGGGAGTAAGGGTTGGGAGGAGAAGGAAGGGGGTGGGGGTGGGGGAGGAAATATCTGTAATACTATCAACAATAAAAATATATTTAAAAATGAAAAAAAAATCTTATTGTTGCCCTGACCGGTTTGGCTCAGTGGATAGAGCGTCGGCCTAGGGACTGAAGGGTCCCGGGTTCGATTCCAGTCAAGGGCATGTACCTTAGTTGAGGGCATATCCCCAGTGGTGGGTGTGCAGGAGGCAGCTGATCGATGTTTCTCTCTCATCGATGTTTCTGGCTCTCTATCCCTCTTCCTTCCTCTCTGTAAGAAAATCAATAGAATATATTTTTATAAAAAATCTTATTGTTGAGAGTATTACAGATGTTTCCTTTTTCCCCCATTGCCCCCTTCCACCCGGTTCCCCGCCCTGCCCCAGGCCTTCACCACTCTATTGTCTGTGAGCATAGATAATGCATATATCCATATAAGATATTTGGTTAATCTCTTCCTACACCCCCCTCACCCCTTCAGTCTGAGATTTGTCAGTCTGTTTCATTTTTCCATGCCCTTGGTTCTATTTTGTTTTATTTTTTTATGTTGTTATATTTTAATCAGAGCCAGGCATTAAATGGCATAAAATACTCTATATTTCTCTTCACTGTTCCAAATCTCATAAACTTCAAACCCAAATATGACACAAGCAGTTTCAACAATTATTTTGACCAGCCTCCCAATCCCAAAGGAGATTAAAACATAATAATGTAAAAAAATTAAGGTCAAGGTGTCTTAGTATCACATCCAATGACTAACCTTTGTTAGCTCCACCCTGAATGTTTCTGAGCTTATCTTGCTGTCAAACAAGTGGTAAGTTATCAATTCCCTGGGGGATTGTCCCTGAAAACAAGCCACCCTCTCTAGATACAGTAAGCACTTTAAGTGGGGTACTTACTTCTTCTGGGTCAGGTCCAATGTTTGGCTCTCAAAAGCAAGATAAAGAATTGACGGGGATTAAAAATGGCAGCAGAGTAAGTGGCTGCTGCAAGGACATGCTCCCAAGAATAAGTTGATATTACAACTATAATACAGAAAATTTTCCTGAATAATTAACAGAAAACTCGAAGGTGAGAATCATGACACCCAAGGAATGAAAGTGGAGACCACATAGAGACTGGTAGAAGGAGCAGAGGTGCAAAAGAACTGGCTGGGTGCCCACAGACAGCAACTGAAGTCTCAGAGAGATATCTCAGCTGTAGGGGGTTGCCACTGAGAACTCTGGTATCTAATCCCCAAGCTGGGCCCCCCAGTAGAGAGCACCAAAACTGATGAGGGTACCCACATAACATCTGGCTGTGAAAAGCAGCAGGGTGCTGTCTGCAGAGAGGGACAGCTGAAAATTCAGGAACCCTCTTAAAGGGTCAATGCACAAAATTCCCTGGGGAG